ACCCTCGCCGGTGTCCCGGCATCAGCTCCGTACAGGCGTGTGCACCTTGGAGCAGACACGGGGCAGCGCAGCCCGCACCAAGGTGCCCGTGCAGTTGCCACCAGCATGGAGCTGATGCCGGAGCTGTGGAACCTGGCACGGCTGTTTGCAGCCTGCTTGCTGCAGCTGCCCAGAGCCCAGGCTAGCTACAAACAGCTGCACTGGGCTCCAGAAGCCTGCCGTCAGCACTGTGCCAGGAGCGGGGGAGAGACCGGGGCTGCGCTGCCTCAGGTCTCTCCCACTACCCACTCCGAGGCGCAGGTGCACGTGCTGGTACGGAGCTGATGCCGGAGCCCAGCACAGCTGTTTGTAGCCTCCTGGCTGCAGCCGGCCCCAGCTCCGGGTAGCTGCTGCCAGCCGGGAGCCCAGGCTGCTCCCAGCAGGCAGTTGGGACGCTGTGAGCCCTGCTGGCAGCAGCCCGGCTCCCAGCTAGCAACAGCTACCCAGAGCCGGGGCTGGCTGTGGTGTGCTGAGCAAAATGGTCTCGCATGCCATGCTTAGCACACGTGCCGGGGGTTGTTGACCCCTGGCATAAACTGTAGTGAATACCCAACAGACTGAGTGAGAAAATATAAAGTCTGACGTAAAAGGTGTGCAGAGCACCAAGGAGGCAGTTCATTTAGAGTTCAGGAGCAGTGAGGTAACTGAGATTGGGTTGAACATTATTGCTTTTACTTCAATGTACCCTAATTGCACTAATACTGAGATACAGTTTTTAAATATTTCTATTGAAGAAGCCCAGTGAATGCTCCAAGAATCTTTCTCCAAAGAACTCTGAAGAACTGCTGATTTTACCTACATATTCAGACTTCACTCGTATTTCTCCCTCTCCATAATGTGTCTCCAAAGATCCAGGCACTTTCCAGGAACAGGTTAGTATAGCGGGGCAACTCTCAGCTACCAGCAGCTGGCTGTATTCACTGGGTCAGAGGCTGAAGGAAACGGTTTCCTGTTTTGCTGGTATTCAATGCCATTTAACAATAGGGGGAAAGAAAGCTGCTGTTTAAGACTGCAGGATCTAAGTATGGGGATATTGTTTTCAACATTAATAGAGTCTGCACATCTCCCTGTTTTACTCCTACCCTCACCCCCATCTCTTGGTTACAGGTCCACAAGTGGGAGGTGTAAAGAAATTCTCTGCTCTCTCTCTCTCTCTGTCCATGGGCCTGAGACCTCCCATCCCCCTGCCACCTCTTGTGGTGCAGAGACCCTTTGTGTCGTGGTCCCACCCAGGTACCAGCCAGGTCTGTTTGGTGATGCTGGGCCCACCACCTGGGGATGCGGACATCTTTTAAAAAAGATTGGTCTGCCTCAACTAATGCCTGTTGCTGGTTGGGACTTAGTGTTGAGGTCTTAAAGGTTATAAAAAGGGTTCAACTCCATCTTGGAGGAGGAGAGACATTTTTGGGATGCTGAAACAAGCAAAAGGGCCTCCAAAACTCCATCAGTCTCTGGATGAACATGCGAGTAACTCACCTGAAATTAGCCAGTAACTTAGGATCAAGTGAACTAGAAGCATATCGAAAGGGCCAACGAGCTCATTCTGCTTTACTCAAGGCACTGTTTTTCTAATACTCATCTGTCTTGTACTCCTTCCCCATTGTCCTCCTCTTGGATTAATAAAAGCTACCTGTTACAGCACACCTAGCTGTGAATGCTTGAGAGGAGGGACAGGCCTTTACACTCCTAGTACAGCTCTGTGGAGTATTACCTGAAAACCTCCTGGGTGGCTCCAGGCTATAAGGAGTACCCAGAAATACTACTAGTAGGCAAAGCACCCCCAAGGTCAGCAGGGTCTGTATACCCCAGGCAGCACAGAGCCCTAATGGAAACCCAGGCCTGGGTGGTGGCAGCAATTACCTTAGCCTTGTGGGTATGCTCCAGGAAGGGAATTTGGGGGAGGGGGTTCGGCCAGACATGGGTGCTCCAAAGGAGACACTCGAAGCAGAGTTTTGGTAGGGCATAGTGAGGTGGGTGGCTCAGAATGGTAATGCCCCCTACTGGCCCACCACACAAGGTAGCAGAGGACAGAAGAGGAGGAAAGACAGTTTGGTCTTAGATAACATGCACTTATTATAGATGTCTCTTGTCATAAATGGCCTAGAGGTCGGAAATACGAGACTAACTAAAATTACTGGCTTATATCCCTTCCCTTTCCTTCCAAGTATGAGACAATGAGCTCCATGTGTGGATCTTTTGGAGCCATGGTGGCAGCAAGTCTCACTTCTGATTTCCATAACAGTGTTGAAAACATAGTGTCCTCCCTCATCAGCAGTTGCACTGTTTTCATCACTCATTCAAGAGAACTCCGTCACAGCCATTTTCAACAATAGGCCATTTCCTAGAGTAGACAGGGCTTCAGTCAGGGGAGTCTTCATCCCTTCCAATATAGTTTTTATCACCTACATTTTTCTTAATATAGAGCAAGTGCTAACCCTTCCTATCCTTTTGACTTCACCAAGGTGGAAACAGACGTAATTTTTGTGCCACCATAGCAAGTTTTATGGTGGTACCAAGTGGAAGCAAATAGATATTCATACACTTTGTCGCAGCACAAATGCCCACATTTGTGGCTGCAACAAAAGGGAGTTAAAAATTGTGCCCCTTTATTGCAGCTGTGACAGGGAGTAGTTATAATTTGTGCCCCTTTATTGCAGCTGTGACAGGGAGCAGACTCCCAGGCCCAGTCACAGTGCAAGCCCACATACCTGTCTTTGGGCAATCCACCCAATTTACTCTTCTGCCATGCCTTGTTGTTAAATAATTCTGATGTTAATTAGTCGGGAGGCTGCCCTTCGAGCACTCTGCTGTTTACAGGCAGTAAACACATGACTCTCCTATCGTGTCCCATGCCTCGCAGATGTTTCTGCGACTTGTGCTATGCTCTGGCTTGAGGCCAGGCCCAACTCAGCCCAGTGTTAGGCCTCACTCATACTGCCCAGTTCAAGGGCCTCACTCATACTGCTCCCCTCTCACTCCGCCCTCTCTCACCTGGCTCCTTTTACTCATGCGCCTTACTGGGCCACATTCACTCCGCCCTTGAGTGACCCTGGAGGGCCATCAGGCTTGACTCTCCACTCCTCGGCCAGCCCTAGTGCAGCTTTATGGGCCTTTCCTGTGACCCTCATCTG